TTTCCCTACGATATGTTTTAAAAGATGGATATATAGAGCAATAAATACGAAAAGGCAAATCTAAAGTATTATTAAATAAGAAATGACAGATCTAAAATTAAAAATCAATATTTAATCAACTTAATATATTAGTGACAGGTGAGGCTGAGTTTACTATTTCTGAATGCTTTCAGTATGAATTAAAAGAAGCTCATAATTGAGTAAGATTCATGATTTATCACAAGTCACAGGAATCCATAACTTGTTCCAGCTTTCATATTCCCATTAATATGAGCACTTGTGAAACACCAGACAATTTCTGGCAATGATGGTCAACTGAATGATATAGATATGAGAACTGAGGAGTTCACATCCTAAAAATCTAAGTTTAAGGTGGAAGCTATAAACGGCCAAAGAACAATAGGTCTTTAACATAAAACTGTTACTTCCACTGCCTCTCATGTTGAAAGAACGGAAAATTAAATTCAAACATCTTTCCACAGCCTTCCAGGTCCTATACGATCCAGTCCTGCCCACCCCTCTGATGTCAGCACCCACCATTCTCCTCATTTCTACTTTGCTCTCCAAGCTCTGGAGTTATCTCCAGTCTCCTGAGTCAGTGAAGCTTGTTGCAGCCTCAAGGCCTGTGCACTTCTTATTTCCCCTGTCTAAAGGGTTCTTCCCCAGATTTTCATAAGATTGGCATATCTTGTCATCTAGGTCTCAGCCCAAATCACACATCCTCAGAAAATCTGGCCTGACCTTCCTTCATCTCTGATCACTTTCAATCTCATTATCTTGTTAACCTCAAGCACTATTTTAAAATATCTTGGGGCATTCCGGGTGTCACAGTGTTTAAGAACCCCCCTGCCAAAGCAGGGGACACGGGTTCGAGCCCTGGTCCGGGAAGATCCCACATGCCACAGAGCAACTAAGCCCGTGCGCCACCAGTACTGAACCTGCACTCTAGAGCCCACGAGGCACAACTACTGAGCCCGTGTGCTTAGAGCCCGTGCTGCGCAACAAGAGAAGCTACCGCAATGAGAAGCCCGCGCACCACAACAAAGAGTAGCCCCCACTCGCCGCAACTAGAGAAAGCCCGTGCGCAGCAATGAAGACCCAATGCAGGCAAAAATAAATAAAATAAAATGAATAAAATCATCGTAAAAAAATAAAATATCTTAGTCTTTCAATTATTTATGATTGTCTTTTTCCATCATAAAGTAAGCCCCAGGCAGGCATTACTTATGTCAATATTGTTTATTCCTACATCACCAGAGGTGAGACCAGTGCCTAGCCTAGGGGCTAGGAAAATGCTAAAGAACTGAGATAGTAAATAAAAGAAGGAACTACTGGGCCTCCCTGGTGGCGCAGTGGTTGGGAGTCCGCCTGCCGATGCAGGGGACACGGGTTCGTGCCCCGGTCTGGGAGGATCCCACATGCAGCGGAGCGGCTGGGCCTGTGAGCCATGGCCGCTGGGCCTGCGCGTCCGGAGCCTGCGCTCCGCGACGGGAGAGGCCACAACAGTGAGGCCCGCGCAGGAACTACTGAATATGAATGCTTTTCCCACTTTATTTTAATGTCAGATTGTCATCTATTCTGAGAAAGTAATGTATTAGACAACATTCTCAAGACAAAAGCAACACTGAGGCATATAGAGTTGAGTCTTTGATAATTTTATGGTGAATTTTCTTGTTTAGCATCTCGGCTCTGTTATCATTGATAGCTCTTGTTGGAAGGCACTTCTTAGACTGCCTTCCCTCTTGACTTAGTTTGTACTAACTTCTAGAAGTTTTCTTTTGTAATGCTGAAGCACAATAAGCTCAATTAGTGAACAAGAGTGTACACAGCTATGAGAATGAAGATTTGTATAGTAATTGCTGACAGTTTCTTTACTATAATAATAACAGTTAAGACTGCTGGAATAAGAGATGACATTAATTCAGAAAGAACACCTTTTTTTAAAAAAATTATTTTATTTATTTTATTTTTGGCTGCATTGGGTCTTCGTTGCTGTGCTCGGGCTTTCTCTGGTTCTGGCGAGCAGGGGCTACTCTATGTTGCGGTGCACAGGTTTCTCTTTGCAGTGACTTCTCTTGTTGCAGAGCACGGGCTTTAGGCACTCAGGCTCAGTAGTTGTGGCACGCGAGCTCTAGAGCGCAGGCTCAGTAGTTGCAGCACATGGGCTCAGTTGCTCCGTGGCACGTGGGATGTGGGATCTTCCTGGGCCAGGGCTTGAACCTGTGTCCCCCGCATTGGCAGGAGGATTCTTAACCACTGTGCCACCAGGGAAGCCCCCAGAAAGAGCAC